ACGTACACAAGCAGCCAGTATAGAGGTAGTGTCATTGGTGCCTTTAAACATTGTATTGCTCTAGTTTTCCTACAGAGACAGAGTTAGGGAGGACTGTTGACCTGGAACACGATTCTCAGAAATGCATGTGAAAAACACATTGGAATTTGGGAGATTTTTTTGGAGATAGCGTGGAACAGTGGAAGAAGCAGGAGATCAGCTCTGTGACTTTGGGCAAGTTACTTTACCTCTCTGAGTCTCAGTTCCCTCTTCTGAAACAAACAAACAAACAAAATTTTCATCTCCCTCATGTAGATCACTGCTGAGGAATAAATGCTCGCAGGTTTGTGAGCATCAAACTCTGTGCCTAGACCAAGTAGGTGATCAGTAAATGTTAATTCTCTTGTTCCATCTAGGAAGCCCCATGCCAAAAAGAAATTTGAGGGAAAAAAAAAAAAAGCAATTTATTATTTTGAAAGTGAATCTTTGCCATGTTGAGAACAGCCTGCTCTGTACAAGCAGGGAGAGCAGGGCTTTGCCAGCTTGGGAAATGTTGTCTACATGAGGAGGAAGAACCTCCTTGTACCCCGGTCATTTGGTTAACTGTGGTTTCAAGAAATACTTGGTATGTACTAAGTAATTGTAAGTTTGCCCCACTGACTTGGGACTAAATGTTCCTTCTTCTAAGTTTTATTTTTTAGTACTGGTAGTTTCAGTAGGGGTTTCCCTCTTCTGGTCTTACTCATTATTTTCATTATTTGTTCTTTCATTTATTCACTCAAAAGCATTCTCTGAGCACACCAGTGCGCCAAGCCCTGAGGTTGGCACAGGGATGCTAAGAAGAACAGTCATGTCCATCCAAGAGGTTCTTTATAAAACACAGAAAAAGTGCCCTTGGTCTTATGACCAATATCCAGAGTGAGTAGAGTGGGGACCCAGAGGATAAGATGTGTCAGTGTCAGTCAGGTCCAGGCAGAGAACAGATACACCCTCCAATTAGGTTAACTGGAGGGAAGTTGAATAAAGAGTCAGTGTACAGAACTGTGGGCAGGGTGCTGGAAGCCCAGACAACCAAGAAGTACCTTGGGATACTAACAGCGTTTCCACCCCTGGGCTTGCAGGGGTGAGGGTAGGGAGCAGGCAATCTGAGCCTGGTGGGATGTGTGAAGAGGGCAGCCCAGCAGAAGCTTAGTCAAGGATGTACCCAGAGGGCAGGGGCCCACAGCTCTGATCCCCACTGGCCAGTCTCCCAGGCACAGAGTAGGTGGAGGGAGGAAGGGAAGAGGTCGGATTAGTCTTAGAGGCAAATGGAAGCAGTGGGTTGATTTCACCTTGGGTAACAGGTGTGAGGAGAGACTTCAGAGGTAAGGTAAACTTTAAGAATAACAACTAATGCTAATTTAGTGCTTTCTCTAAGCCAGGCACCGTTTCAAGAGCCTTATTATAATAACAATTTTAGTTCTCACAGCAACTCTGAAATAGGTGGAATTTTAACCCCATTTTTCAGATGAGAAAGCTGAGGCACAGAAAGGTTAGGTAACTTGCCTAGGATCACACACCTAAGTCAGTGGGGAAGCCAGGATTCAAACTCTGGCAGTCTGGGTTCAGAACACTTTGGGCAGCAACTTGAGAGCTGACAGGGGATTCACCAGGTTCACTTAGGTCTCTGGTTCGCAAGGGGAGGGGCCTGTGAGTAGTTCCTCCCTGCTCGCAACTCGAGGAGCTTTTGGCAGGGTAGGAAGGCCTGGGAAGTAAATGGTGTTTGGAGGCACTGTCTTCAAAAACTCCCCAGGTCCATAGGGTAGGCTGGGTGGTCACAGTCACACACCCATCTGTACCATTCCTCGGATTCTTCAAAGACTTGTGGCGCTCTCTCCTGCTGGGGTCAGCACAGCCCTTCAGTGTGGCCTGGCATCTGTCCTTCCCCTCTGGATGGTTGATGGGAACCTTTACTGTCCCTTCTCTACTTACCCAGTTTTTAGCCCAGGTCTAGTACATGCAGAGAGGCTTCACTTGCCGTCCACCTGAATTCTAACAGTAGCAGCCATCATTTCTCCATAGCTTACTGTAGGCCAGGAAATGTGCTAAGCACCAACTATGTGCCCTCTCATTAAGCCTCACAACACACCTGTGTGGTACATCTTATGATCATTCCCATTTTGCATTTGGGGAAACCAAGGCTAAAAGAGTGTAAGTGACTTGCTGGACACAGAGCTAGTGGAACCAGGAAACAAACTAAGGTCTGAGCTTCTCCCAGCATTTCCACCCGACACCACGCTGACAGTGCCTTAAGCCCCGGCCCAGATGAGGGCTGGTATTTCTAAATTCTCTGGGGTGTCTGTGGGAATTTGGTCCCCTGCCCTCTTTCTCTGGGTAGCTGGAGGAAAGAACTGAGTGGGGAGGTAATGGGATGTAGAGAGAGTGCCTCAGGAAAATCTCAGACAAGATAGGAAAAGAAATTTAAGCTTTGGGAAAATAACTCTTACGGCTTGACTACAAGAAGTTTTTACACCACAAGGGTACCTCTGTAAAGTTTGCTGCCATTCCGGATTAGCAGACCAATCTATACATTATAGACCTAAGAATCCTAAATTATTTCTATTAATCTTAAACCTACTATGAACCCTCAACCTCTGGGCGTTAGCATACGGAGGGCTCCTCCCTGCCTGGTGGACCCCTGCTCACCCTTCAGATGCCTGTTTAAGCCTCGTCTCCACTGTGATCTGTGATGACCACTACCCCAGAAATGTGTTCCCTCATCATTCAGTCACTCACCGTGTGCTAGATACTGGTCTAATGCCAGGGATTCAGCAGTAGACAAAACAGGGTCCCTCCCCTCATGTAGCTTAAGTTCTTGCAGGGGAGACAGACATTAAACAAGTAAGTAAAATACAATGTTGGAATGAAGCAAAATACAATGTTGGGATGAAGCAGTTAAGGGGGTAAGAAATATTGAGGGAAGTTGTAATTTTAAATCTGATGGCCAGGGAATGCTCAGTAGGAAGGTGATGTTTGCAGAAACACTTGAAGGAGGGGCTGGCAATTGGCATGTGGGCATCGAGGAGGAAGTGTTCCAGACAGGGAACAGCATGGGTAAGGGCCCCGAAGCACACTCAGGAAGCAGCAAGGAGGCCAGGACTATGTGGCTGGAAGGAGAGAAGGAGGATATCAGAGGGGGAGAAGTGGGGCCAGATCTGGGAGGGAGGGCCCCCTGTCAGCCACTGTAAGGACTGTGGCATGTACCCTGAGAGAGGGGAGAAGCCCCTGGAGGTATGAATCATACCCTGTCTTGCTACCTCCTTCCCTTAGCACATCTCAGTTAAAGAACCAACCCCCTGGTTGGAGAGAGACTAGCCTTCCTCTCTCTCATCCATCTCTTTCTGAAACCTGAATAGCAGGGCACAGTGCGATTCATCTCAGTATTCCCTAGGCCAGCAAAGCACTTAATAAATATCTCTGGATCTGAACTTGAATCAAATGGCAGGTAGCAGCTTGCAGAAGCCTGAAAAACCTGGGCACTGAGGTCTCATGAGTTGATATATATGGTGTTGGCTCCCTTGGGCCCTTGGCTACTGCACCAGCAGGCACAGGCAGTGAAATCTTTTAGAACCAAATAATCCCAAGGAACAAGGAAGGGAGGACTGTGGGGAGTCGGGAGGGGGGCTGCTGCTGCCTGATGTCAGGTGTTTTTGCCACTGTAGCTGCTTGCTGGCTCCTCATACTCCCCTGGCTCTGCTCCCTAACCAAGGTGTGGCCTTGTCCTGCGCAGGCATGCCTGTGGTCCTGTCGCAAGAGGTGGAGTCTGTTCTTGTGGGTGCTGCTATTCTGGGTGCCTGTGCCTCAGGGGATTTCGCTTCTGTACAGGTATGTGAAGACCAGGGGGTGGGCTGTGGCTCCTCCCCTGTCTGAGGCCAACCTTCCTCTTGACAGCAGCTCGCATTTTACAAAACACACACAGGATATAATTAAGAAATGATAGGTTCCAGCCAGGGAAAGCACAAACACTTCTAGCCTCAGACATATTTATTGCAGTTTTCATTTGACTTGGCCTCAGTTCGTGTTGGTCGTTCTGTTTTTCAGTTGTTTTTGTTTTTTATTTCTTCTTTAAAATACCTTTTAAATTATTCCTTTTAAATTTCCCCTTGACCACTTTTCTTTGAGCACATGAAACAGGTAAGCCTCAAAACCTCAGTTTTTCGTGTGTATTTCAGATTTTTAAAAGCTTATGGCAATCCCACCATTTTCCAAATACCTTTAAGGCCTCTGTCAACAAGAGATACAAATGACAATGTTAGTATTAAATAAAAAAGGAATTAAAAGGGAAAATAAGGAACAAAGATATAGGAAGAAGGAAACAATTTGGTGGCTGTGATTAAACACATAATTTGGCTCTGAGCTTCCTGGCAGCCAAGACAAAAAAGAACACATGATAAATTGCATAATTCTTATTTTCAAAAAGAGGAAACATACTAGTTTCTGGTGAGAGGCAGAACTTTCCCTCCTACCAAATTGCGAAAGACTTTGCACACATGGGGCTTTGTGGAGAGGTTCTGAGTGCTGAAATAATACAACAAGATAAAGAACGAATGTGATGTGGAGGCTAGGAGTGTACAGGCTCTGGCATTAGACCACCTGGGCTCAAATCCTGGCTTGACTACCTGCCAGCTCTTGTGGCCTAAACACTCTTCTCTGTACCTCCACTTCTTTATCTGTAATAGTAATTAACAGTACATCGTGAGTTCTTTCTGTGTATCAAGCATGCTCATTTAGTCCCTGCACAACTCTATTATCACCATTTTATGGTTGAGGAACCTGAGGCATAAAGAAGTTAAATAACTTAGCCTAAATGAAATGGCTGGTAAATGCCAGAATCAAGAAGTCTAGCTCCCACTTCTCAACTGAACGTTCAAGAGATATTTGTTCAGCTAAGCAGCAGAGTGTCCAAATGACTTGCTCATGGTCTCAATAGCCAGGTAGCTAGTAGCTCCGTAATTAGAGTTTCATTTATTGTGAACTTCTTAATGTGCCAGACACTGTGCTAGGTGCTTTTTGTATAATCTTCCTAATACCTATAACAATGCTTCATGAACCACAGAGATTGGGCAATAGAGATCCAGAAAGCTTACAAAACTTAAGGGTACACTGTTAGGAACAGACAGATTTAAAACTGTGATGTTGTTTTTACTGCATTTTGGAAAATGTGGTACACTACACACTATCCAAGCCTCTGAAACTAATGACTGTGAAGTCTCCCTCACAAGGAATTAAATCCACTCATGAATTCTTGTGGGTTCTCAGTGAATCTTTAAACAAAGATGGTATAGTTTAATTCTTGACTTTTTCTGGATAGTCTCGTCCTGTCTCAAAAATAGCACATGGAGATATTTGTTGTCGAAATATCAGTAAATGGTCAATTATTATTTTAGTGTATCAGTGTAGGAGATGTTCTCACAATTAGGTATCTTGCCCTTCCTGTGACAAATTATAAAAGTTAAAATGGGAGGGATACTTACTAAGGTTCTGCAGAGGTTACCCTGTGTTGTGAACTGAGTATTTGTATTCCTGCAAAATCTGCCCTGACCCTCAATGTGATGGTATATGGAGGTGGGTCTTTGGGAGATAATTAGGGTTAGATGAAATCATGAAGGCAGGAGCCTAGTCTCATGGGTTATGAAGGTCTGATGGGCCCTTATACAAAGACACCAGAGAGCTTCCTTATTCTCTCTGCCATGTGAAGACACAGCAAGAAGTCCATTTCTACAAGCCAGAAGAGGGCTCACACTAGACCCTGACCTTGCTGGCACCCTGATCTCAGACTTTGAGCCTCCAGAACTGTGAGAACACAGATTTCTGTTGTTTAAGTACCCAGTCTATGGCATTTCGTTATAGTAGCCTGAGATAAGACACCTCATTTAATCTTGACAGTCATCCTGCTTGCAGGATGCATGCTTTTATCCTTCCGTGATAGGAAACCAAGTTTCAGAGATGTTTGAAGTAATTTGTCCAAGGCTACACAGAAAGGGTAGAAGCAGAATTGAAATGAAGGTCTCTCTGGGTCTATATCTTATCCTGATTGTCATTCTTTTTCTAATGTGTTCGATTGTTTTTTCTTTAAAAATATTTTCTGACTTCTTAAGTGTTCAGTGGTGTATTTTCTGAAAAGAAATGCCATAGATCACAAATCAGGAGATAGTCTGTAGCTCAAACAGAGAATAGCATGTCAAGATGAGGCTGCTATACCAGGTGCTTCATACCATGACTTATGGCTTCATTGATATCTTATTCAAAACTGGGATCTCCAGCTCTAAAGGAATTCCATTTACATCTTCCCCTAACTGGAAGCTGAGCTTAACTCCACACTGACATCTTGGCTACATGAGATTTGCTGTTAGTCTTCTGGAACAGAATCTAAGATATGGTAGATCAGATTTGGAACTGATGACTTGAGTAGCAGCTGCAAGGCTCACAGCGTTGTAAAGACAAGCTCATGTCTCCTATTCAGCCCAAGGATGAGTGTGCCTGTCCTGATCGTTTTCAGGAGACACAATCTAGTAAAGGGAGCCCCCAGCTGAGAGAGGCCTGAGGTTTTATCTGTCGTCACTTGCCTGACAGAATCCCCATAGTCTGGAGTTCTGTGCTTGCTTTACTATCCTCAGACAATGTCATTTGTTCTCTCTGGGTACTTGTTTTATTTGTCTGTTTTATGTATTTTTTTTTTAACGTTTAAATAAGAATTGCCACCCATATGGGACTATTGAGATAAAGAGCCTTTGAAGGTTCCAGTGACCTCTCAGGTGTAATCAATGTCATTAGAATGATAAAATGTTTGGAACTGCTTTGAAAATGAAAATGTATGTAGACTTAGCATCATTTGCTCCACTCCAAAGAAGAGGGGCTGACCTTTGTGCCTCAGGTCTGGGGACCAGCTCCAGATTCTGGCAAGGTCAGGCAAAACTGAATTGCTTTCTTTCTGTGATTCATATTTTCAACCTGAACTTCAACACAGTCTTTTCTTTGAACTTCAGAGACCCTGGCTTGGTTTGCAGGGTGCCTGCCTTTCCTTTCTTCAGAAAGTTGAGCAATTCCTGCCAGCACCTCAACTATTCCAGCAAGTCAGATGTTTTGTCTTCTCATGGACCACACATCTGGTGGTTAGATGGAGGATTTCACTTCTTATCTAGATAGGCCGATTTTGGTAGACTCAGCCAGAGTCACCTCCTTCAGATGCTGGGAAGGCTGGGGAGAATCCAGAGGACCCAGACAATAGAGGTAGGGAAAAGTTTTATATGCTTGAGGAGACAAGGTTTCCGAATTTCATAGGCCCCTGAATGGATGATTTTCAGCCAGGGGTGGAGTCCTATACCTTTCTTGGGTGATATCAATGGATCCACAGCTGTAGATTTTGCTTGTAGCTATTGTAGACTCTATGTATGTCAATTCTGGGAGAATTTTATCAGGGAAAGGGAGACTGGATGGAATTTTCTGGTGAGGCCTTAATGAAAGATTGGCCAACAACAAGATCTATTGATATTGCAAATTTTGAAACATGCTGACAATTCCTAGCTTCCTTGTTCTGTTCTTTTATCCATTCAGATTCTCCTTCTCTTAGTTTGTCTCTGTCTCTCTTCCCCTGTCCTTTCCTGCTTTCTCTCCCTTTAGACATCTAAAGTCTTCTTACTATTTCTTTGTCAAATTCGGATCTCACAAAGGAGACTGATACACCCATTCGTTCATTCTAAAGAACACAATGACTAATGCTATCTTAAAGAGCTGTCCCTCTTTAGAAAGGGTGTTTTCCTTTTAGTAGTTTTCAAAACTGTGTCTTTACTGAAGAGTACAATCTCCTTGAGGACAAATATTCTCGAAGGCAAATCATGATCACCTTTATATCTGCAGTGTAATGAATAATATGGAATCAAGCCACAGATATGCTGCTCTTACGGTAAAAGTTTAGCTATTGAATAGGTGGGAGGGGACACAAAGAAGGCAGTCCACTTGCCCTCCCTTTACCCTTAGGAATGTGGAATCCCTGTAGTCTTGACCTCTGTGACCTTTCTACTTGATCCCTCCCCCATCATCAGTAGAGTACAAAATGATCCTCTATAATTCTGAATATCTTGGAAAACAAATAATTATAATTAGAAGCTGAGAGTGTTCCATAACACTTCTCTAGGCTCCCAGGTCCTGGAAAATCAACAAACTGGAAAAAAACTAAGTTTATGAAATATCACTATGCTTACACTTTCTAAACACAGACAGTTAAAAGATTCTAAGAAATACAAGGACAAATAAATAAAACAAGAAGCAGTTTCAAGTCATTGTGAGAGAAAACCCAATCAAATGGCAAAGAGACAGCAACATGAAATGACCCTCCACTTTCTGTTTCCTTTAGGCCCCCTGCAGATGTCATTAACTTTCTGTAATTTTTTATCTTCAGGGGCAGTTTTTATTCAAGTCTTTTTATACAAAACAAGCTTTAATTCCAGCAGTGCTATTTGTCTTGAACCACTACCCCTCACCCTTGAAAAGAAGGAGTGGAGGAAGCATCTGAAGCAAAAATCAGTAAAAGGAGACAGTGACAAGAGATCAAAATGCATTCAGCAGTCAGTTTAAGGGGAGTACCAGTGTAAAGAAAATAAGCCCTTGGAATCAGCCAATTAATCACAGACCTTCCTTCCTCCCACTGTGTGAGCGTTGCCACCCCTGTAAATCACTGACTCCATGCACTCCCACCATCAACTTTCCCTGTCACGTTCCAGACAGACTCCTGTGTCTTCAAGACCAATACATATAAGTGGCCAGTTGAGAGCTGTGATTACTCACCCTTTCTGTAATGTGTGCCCACAAGATAAACCATCCATGCC